CAGTGGGAACTTACTGCACGAACTCTGGGAGCAGCTTCCTGAGACACAGGTTTTATGTATCCTATTTTTGATGGGATAGCTAACTGTAACTAATGCATCCCTATGGGAGCATCTACTCTAAGAGACTTAGCCATGCTGGGATCTTCATCTGGAGCCACTGCTCCTAGTGCCTAACTCCACCTGCCATTTGTTGGTTGTCTAGATTTCTTGCAGCACTTACCATTTTTCCCTAAGTCTTGATTGGCTCATTATTCAATTATACCCATGCCTAACTCTCTTCTTATATAAGAACAGATTCTATTTCTTATTCTTTCTGTCCTTCAAAATACCAAAGACACTACAATAAATGTTAATGTTTTCAATGGGCCCATTTTGACCATGTTTAGGATCATAATCTACACACCTCATGAGCCTCATGTCTGCCCCAGGATAATCCACCAGTTTAATATGTGTTGCTCTAAGCAGTTTTTATAACTTCATTTTGTGCTTTGGCTATCACACATGTGCCTCAATGCATTTTGATTACTCTCACATCCAACCTATCTTAGCCCCTTAAAATCCCCACTTAAAAGTCCCTTTCCAAGATTCATGTCTTTTTTGTTTGTTTTGAGACCACCAAAGTTTCAGCAATGCCACAGGTTTGAAATTATCCACTGGAGCCCAGTGAGCTCACTACGTGTGTATATTTTTTTTTAAAAAAAGAGTTGATGTTTTAAGAAGTGTTCAGCTTCCCCCCAGACCATTCACACACATCCAGCATCCTAGTTAAGGAAGGAAAACATCTCTTTAGGGAGAGTTTGAAATGTCCACTACTTTGTATTAGCACGTCATTATCAGTTTAGAAACCTGAGCTCTGATGAAGTTTAAATCATCAAATTAATACACATTTTTATTGCTTCCTATAACTATTTTTTAATTTGCCTTTTCAATGATTCTTACTTTATTTTATTTCTATCAAAAAGTCTCCTACTAAAAACAGCAGTTATAAAATCTGCCTATATAACTTGATGCAAACTAAAAATGTTCTAGGAAGAAGCCCTTCCCATGCTTTTATAAGCAACCTACATGAAGCTTACTTAATCACTAAAAAAACAGACACAAAATTAGAAGAATTAGGTAAAATAGAAAGAGGACAAAACATGATGAACAGGATCAAAATTCATTACAAACATTTGTTGAAAAGTCATAATGAAGCCCATTATTATATATAATTAATGCATGATAATAAAATATTTAAAAATTAAGAACATCCTCCCAATAGAATGTTCTTTCCAAATGATACTTTTTATTGTCTACTATTTTACTAGGAACCTGCCCTTAGCACCATAATTCAGGGCATGATGGGTCATGGCCTAGCACAGCCTAGATGGGGGAGATGCCTAAGGTTGCCACAGTCTCTGTGAGTAGGAAACAGTTTTAGAAGAACCATGACAACATCCCACTTTGCCTTGATTTGAAACCTGGTGCTTTGCTGGTAAGATTTGGACCACAACACAGAATATGCAGAGACATAAATACTATGAGCCTTACCTGACCCAATTGGGCCTGGCTTCCATGGTCCAATTCCCAACTCTGAGAGGGGACGGTGGCTTCTTTCTGTTGCTTGGGGCAGGCATGATGGGTCACTGACCGCATATGGCATGGTCAGATAGCAGTTTGGAACCTCTCCCTCCTTGTCTGTAGTATATAGAATAGCTTATGACACATGCAGACTCCTAAGTGGCCGTGATCTTCGCGTGTTCTGAGATGATGTTAAAATTGCCAAGGTGACCATGGAAATGGAGTGGAGAGAAATTTGAAATGGAGTCAACTGGTAGAGAAAGTATGAAGATGTCAGGAAGGATTTGTAGAGAAACCTTAGTCACCCAGTAGGCATAGCACTACCATCGTCTTTTAGCCTCTCCTGCAGGTGCTGTCAGGTGTAGTTTATCTCTAGAACACAGGGTAACTTGTGTGTGTGTGTGTGTGTGTGTGTGTGTGTGTGTGTGTGTGTGTGAATATGTGCATGAATATGTAGGAACACTTGTACACTAAAGTTAGACTGCAGCCTCACCCACTCCATGTCACACCTGGATACTAACATTTCTGCATAGTTGGATTAACTGTCAAAATGCTCGATTTTTATCCCAGCTCATCTGCCTCATGCCCATTTTTCTGGAAGCCCTTCTCTCGACATATGTCATTGCTACCTGGTTTCCTGGCATAGATTTCTAGGCTTGACTCACTGGAGTCAGGAAGAAAAAAAAATAGAGGAGAGGGCAGAAGAGAAGGGGAGGGGAGAAGAGGGGAGAGGAGGGGAAAGGAGAGGATCTGTCGCTGTCACTGAAGAGGATGGAGAACTCAAAAGATAAGCCAAAAACTGGCGATCTGGGACTGGAAAGTGATGCTTAGGACAAAAGCTTAGGAGTTCCTGGTGGGCCCCCAGGAGTCACTAAATTAGAGAATGGCTTCCTCATTGACCACAACCACATCTTAACTCTTGCCAAAATGATTCACTTATACTCTTTGGGAGAAAACAAGTGAGTACTTAGACTTTAGTGCAAAAATCAAGAGTGGTTAAGATTTTAAAGTTCATCCTAAGGAATTTCAGTTACTTATATCTACAGTTTATTTTTGTAAAATATCTTACCTCCAATATCTTACCTTACATCTCATGACAGGTGAGATGCTGTGCACAGAATCCTAGTGAAAAAAAAAAATTCTCTGCTCTGCAGTTATTTAAGAAGAGGGAAATGTTGATTGAGTGTTTTCTACTTCTGTGGGAAAAGCAGGCAAGGTCTGGCTTCTCTTTAAGAGTGTCTGAAACACACATAGGGTTACAGGAGGGGTTGAGGGATTAAATGATTGTTTTCCCAAAGTTCCTAACACACTACAACTTTTTTGTCATTCTATTACTGTGGTCCTGTTTCACTCTTCTTCCCTTGATTTTCTTTGGATTTACTAGCTGTTCTCTGTCCTTGTTTCACTTGGCAGAGAGGAAGTCATGGGTGCCTTGTTAAGTAGCATTACATTTATTAGTGTTCCACAGAGAGTCACACTAGATGCCAAGGAAAATGGGTGTTAGCAGAGGCAGGTTCCCATGTGTATTTTTGCAGCCAGAAAAGATACATGGTGAGAAAACAATGACTTCATCCTCAAAACATAGGAATTGAGGAAACCCACCCCACAAAATTCAACTATAAAAAGTAATCTTCAAGAAGAATAAAGGGGTCATTGCAAGAACTATATTAAAATCCTTACTTATTTAAAAATCTTAGATAATTTCAATGAAAGTGAAAGTGTGCTAGATATCAAGCCAGAGGATATTATATGTAATGTATTGTTCATTTGCTGAATCATTGGTGTATTTAGATGCTAGGGATTGAACACGGGGGATTATGCAACACGCACACACATTTGAAAAAATAAAGAAGCTGTGTCATCAATATGTCAGTCCAAAGGTCAATGAAGGTTCTTATGAAATGAGTAGGAGACAAACTGCTGTGAGGAGGTCTAGATGAGCAATTTCCTCCCTGGACAGAGGGGTACCAGAAGAAAAGAGCCCTGGTATTGTGTCTCCAGGAGGAACATTATTGGCAACAGGTGAAGGTTGGGTTTATTCTGCAGATATTTACCAAATTGGCCATAAACCTCAACATCAGGATCCTGGAAACCAGCCTTGAGTGACTTCCTCTCTACCGTTGGCTTTGCTAGATTCCGTCTTTAAAGTGTGCTCTTTTTAAATAACGTTTTCCTAGCTGTGTTTTCAGGTTAAAGATATCTCTTCTTTCAAGGGCTGTAAACTATTACTCTGTATTAGATGCTGATTACTTTAATACACTGCATGTGCCTGCATTTGCCCTGTCGATATTCATTCTGTGCCCACTGCATTTGAAGCATGGTTCTGAGCTATGGAAATAAGCAGGTGAGGAAGAGCCGTGCTTTCCTACAGGGTCCCACAGTCTTCTGGGGGAACCAGGCAATTAAACAAGGCACAGTAACACCACAATGGAGCGAATGGTTCAAAGGTGCGATGGGACTGTATTGCTGTATTGTGAGCTAGCTGTGAGCATCCAACTACCGCCATGTGACAATGGGACACTTAGCCTGATTCCTGGGACCATATTCAAGAAGAAATTTGGGGAATTAGTCCCACATTTATAACAGCCCGGGCCTAACAGTTAGACTCATGTTTCCCAGGGTGTAAGGGAAGTAAGTTTGTAGGGCTGATTTTTCTAGTGAACTTGATTGCACTGGCTCGTATGTTCTTTTTCATAAGAACATTTTGCTTGAATAAACAGAGCCTTTGTATTTGATGGCCCCTCCAATTTCTCCCACTTCTAATAATTTTGTAGAATGTACATGGCTGCTCTAACCCAGTTGTGAACATAACTGGACAATCTGAGCAGGGTTTAGCTCGTGGCTGAGTTCATGTTGGAGAAAATGTGTAGTCAAATCACGTAGGCTCAGAGGGGGCTTGCTTGCTGTGTGACCTTGTGTGACTCACATCAGCTCCATTCCTCAGTTTCTTCATTTGTAAAGGAGGGATAATGATACAACCCTTTCATTTAGGCAAGCTGTGAAGGAAGGGTTAGGACATGAGCATGTGTCCCCTTCGACCGTTGACAGCTAGATGCCAAGTGATGCGTAGTGCAGTAGCCAGTAAGGTCTCTTTGTATTCAAAGAACCTGCCAAGGACGTTTTTGGAATACATATAACTATAAGCATCATATGTCCACTTCCTCTTTCTTGTCCGGGGACTCGTGTGCTGGCACTTCATGTGGCTTCCAACAAGACTTTCTGTAGAGCGGGTGGTTCTATCGCACTCTCTGTGCTATGGAGCCTAACAACGGGGTGTGTAAAGCAAGGCACATCTTACCCTTTGAGAAGAGCAGCATCGAGAGGAGCTGGGTGGGCAACTGACCCCATGACTCCAGAAAAGCACACCGGGAAATATGTGCTTTCCTAGCTACTGGCTGTTGTGTTGTGGCCACCCTGAAAGCTGATTTTTGTCTTCCCAGGTGTTATCATAACTTATGGGTTGTATCTAGATGACGCTCTAATTCACAATTCTTCAGAACTCAGCTGCCATGCCTATGGATTTGATCCTGGGAGCTTACACACCTTCAGAGTCCAAGCATGTACGGCCAAGGGTTGTGCTCTCGGCCCACTGGTAAGTGTGTGAATTGATATTCTGGGATGGGTTAGCTACCGAGTGATGTGAGGGATCGAGGGAGAAGTAAGAGCCTGGGAAGCACGAGGGGAGGTTTTCCTTACAGTAAGGTTCATTTAAGAGTTGTTTTAGGTCGATGTACATTTCAAGGCTGAGCACATACCTGGGGGAAGGAAACATATATTCTTGAATAAACAATAAGTTGGATGCTTTAATAGACATACATATAATTATGCCTGCTTTGATGATAAACAAAAGGTACATGTTTTTCTTCTTAATGATACCCCATTAACTACATTTGTGATTAAAAAATGAATATTGAAAACTGAAATTCCCACAGTACTCCCTCCTAGATGGCTGCCCAACAGGCAGATTAATCAGTTAAAAGATTGAACTTACTTCATCTCTTAGGATAAAGTATTTTTATTTCATGAATCTGCTGTAGCTTTATAAGAATGATATTTAAATTTTTATTACTATCTGCTTTTGATGCCCACATTTTAGAAGCCTATAATGTGTATCTCTGTTTCATTGCATGAAAAAGGATTATCCTTTGTGTTTCAACATCGTTTTCCACATACAGATATTACTGTATGCTCACCACAGACCAGCATAGCATTCTTCAGTTTGAAAATAATACACTACACTTTATGCATTTCTCTTGATTAAATAGGTTTAGCTTCACTTAAAAAAGGAGAGAAATACTCATTAGTTATAGGTATATTTGACAATGTTTGCTAATTCACTATCATTTTAATGGACTGTCTTCATTGCATAGTATATTATATAAATATTACCACAAAAAAAAAAAAACAGTTCCTTAACTTAATTTGTACTTCTTTTGGATCATACCTCCTGTTCAGAGATTGGTCACTTTCCAAGAAGCTAAAGCCACACACTGCTGAGACTGAGCTGGAGTCCTGATTGCTGTCAAGCATTTATAGTACAGACCCTTCTGATGGATACTTACCCTTAAAAGCTGCAATGGAAGGGGGCCAGAACTTCTCCACTCAGAGAGAGAAAGATTGAGTGAGGGAAAGAGAGAAAGAGACTGAGAGAGAGAGAATGGAGACAAAGGAATACTTTCTATGACCTTAAAATTTGCGCTTCTCACCAGCGTGAACTGGGAATTGTACTGCTACCTGCCCCACCTCATCTCCAAGCTATTCTAAAAACTTTAAACCAGGGGACACAGTTATCGACCTGTGTCCTGAACAGATGGCAGGCAACGTTAACCTCAGGAAATCAAATACCACAGGCCCTGATAGGAAGGGAAAGGAAAATTGGGTTGTAAAATCAACCCTGCCAGGTCCCCTCCATTCCAGTCTCCAAGCTGACTTGGCGCACACACCGCCTCCTTCGCTTGCTCCTTTTCTCTCTCCTGTTCAGCCCATCCCTAACTAATGATTTCTACATTTTGGAGACAGAAAGAAAATTCTGTGTTTTTTAAAACGTCTTTTGCAAATTCATTAGGATCGTTACCCATACATGCAAAGCAACACTACTCAGCATGCCCTTAGACAAATGTGCTTCAGTCTTAAGTGTGGCGTCACAGACACACAAATGAGTCATAAAATTAAAAAAAAAATGTACAGATTTGGAAAAATGGGGGTTTTAAAAATAAGTCATTTGTGCATCAATTCCACGTTCTCACTACTTTGATGCAGTAAGAATTTGACGGCTCAATTTATTTTGTTATCACAGCCTGACCAAAGGGAGCGATTTGGGGTGATTAAGACAGAATTGCTCTAGTCCCATTTAATTCCCCTGTGTTTTTTTCTGTTATTGTCAATTTAAAGAACATATTTGACTTTTGAAGGATTCGTAATATTAAAAAAAAAAATACCTAAGAGGCTGAAGAGATGGCTCTCAGCTTAAGAGCAGAGGTTCTAAACTTGTGGGTCATGACCCTTTTGGGGGTCAAATGACCCTTTCACAGGGGTCTCCTGAGACCATTGGAAAACACACAGATGTTTATGTTATAATTCAAACAGTAGCAGCCAAAAAAAATTATGGGCAGGGGTCACCACAGCATGAGGAAGTGCATTAAAGGGTCAAAGCCTAGGAAGGTTCAGAACCGGTGATGTAAAGGCAGCTGCTGTTCTTGCAGAGGACCTCAGTTTGATTTCCAACACCCTCATTATGCTGTCACAACTTCCTGAGACCTCAGGTCCAGAGAAACCAACATCTTTTGGCTTCTGTGGACTCCTGTATTCACATGACCCCACACAGAAACACATACCAACATATAATTGAAACTAATAAATCTTTCAAGAAAAATAAAACATGTCTGGTTTTCTGAAGACTTTAGAAGACACAGGGGAAGCCACTATATACCCACTATTTCAGGCTCGTGCAAAAGCTCACTTGGTATGAATCCTTGGATTTCCCAACACTGTTTATCTCTGAAAGGTTAGTGTGAAATATTACTTACCTAAGAGTCTTAGGAATAAGAATTTTATTTTGTTATGGTTTTATTCAATCTTTATTCTTTTTCTTATTATCATTTATTTCATTTTATTCAATTTGTATCCCCTTCCTCATCTCCTCCCATTCCTACCCTCCCTCCCTCTTCTCAGTCTATGCCCCTCCCCTAGTCCACTGATAGGGGAAGTCCTCTTCCCATTCTATTTAACCCTAGCCTATCAGGTCTCATCAGGACTGGCTGCATTGTCTTCCTATGTGGCCTGGCAAGGCTATAACCCCCCATCCCCCACCCCCCTACACACACATCCAAGGGGAGGTGATCAGAGAGCCTGTTAGTGAGTTCATTACAGGGACAGCTCCTGCTCCACTTCCTAGGGACCCCACTTGGATACTGAGTCTACGGGGTACATCTGAACCAGAGTTTTAGGTCCTCTCCATGCATTGTCCTTGGATAGGGTATCAGTCTCTTTTCTAGTTCTCACTATATACCTGCAAAATTAAATTTCTAAGTAATATTCCATTGTGTAAATGTGCCAAAATTTCTGTATTCATTCCTCAGTTAAGGGACATTTGGGTTGTTTCTGGATTCTGGCTATTCTGAATAGAACTGCTATGAACATGGTTGAGCAAATATCCTTGTTGTATAGTTGAGCATGTTTTGGATATATGCCTAGGAGTGGTATGACTGGATCTTGAGGAAGCACTATTCCTGATTTTCTCAGAAAGCGCCAGATTGATTTCCAGAGTGGTTGTACAAGGTTACATTCCCACCATTAATGGAGGAGGGTTCCCCTTTCTCCACATCCTCTCCAGCAGGTGCTGTCATTTGAGTTTTTGATCTTAGCCATTCTGATGGGTGTGAGGTGAAATCTCAGGGTTCTGATTTGCATCTCTCTGAGGACATTTCTTTTAAGTGTTTCTCTGCCATTCAATATTCCTCTATTAAGAATTCTATGTTTAGCTCTGTACCCCATTTTTAAATTGGATTACTTGGTTTGTTGGTGTTTAACTTCTTAAGTTCTTAAGAGTTTTATTAAACCATGGAAGCTCACTCTCCAAGTAGGTTCCCTAGTAATGGGAACAGGGACTGTCTCTGACATGAACTCAGTGGCTGGCTCTTTGATCACCTCCCCCTGAGGGGGAAGCAGCCTTGCCAGTCCACAGAGGAAGACAATACAGCCAGTCCTGATAAGACCTGATAGGCTAGGGTCTGAGGGAAGGGGAGAAGAACCTCCTCTATCAGTGGACTTGGGGAATGGCATGGGAGGAGATGAGCGAGGGAGGGTAGGATTAGGAGGGAATGAGGGAGAGGGCTACAGCTGAGATACAAAGTGAATAAAGTGTAATTAATAAAAAATAAATAAATTTTAAAAGAATCCTAAATAAACTAGAGTTAAAAAGTTTTAAAAAAAGGAAATTTTGTTGATTTTTTTTGTTTTCACACATATTTGTTCTTAAATTTATTTTTAATTTCAAAGAAAAAATTTTAGGGTTAAAGCTTAGCCAACTTCTACCCTCCCAAAGGACTTTTTTATTAATTTTTAAAGCAACATAGATATTTAAGAAGAAAAAAAAATTACAGAAACAACAAACAACCAACCAAAAATGTCCTCCTTGTCAGAGGTATAGCTGTCAAATTTAGTGTAGAGTAAAAGTCAGAGTGTTTATCCAAACACTGAAGGAAACCTAAGAAAATGTTTATCTTGAATTAACCAAGTATTTGAAGAGAATAATATAATTGTCTGGAGTTATCATTAGTTATTCAATTTTTCAGTGTCATTTTGTCTGGAACTCTTCTAAACCCCTTTCTGTACAATGATTGGAATTGCACACATCGGCACAGTTAAAGTAGCAGCATTATTATAAAACATTAAAGTGATTAATTGAGTTTTTCCAACTGGCTTTTTATTGCTTTTTTTCTACATAGCTGTTTGTAACTGAATCAAGGTTTGAGCAGAAAGCTCAGCCCCCAAGAACCCAGAGCCCTTCTCTGATAAAGATAAAACACCTGTGACCTCACACTTATTAAAAACTAACACTCAGTCTTTTTCACATTTATTTCATAATTGGAGAAATGTATTCACCTTAACAAATAAAGCCTTCATAATTGAGAATATTTGCCTGCCACGGGAGCTCGTGTTTGATCTTCTTGTGAGGCGTGAATGAGCCTGTTTGTTCTGTGGAAGTAAGGCCAGGGCTAGGAGCATGATCAGTTGACAAAGCGCTAGAACTTCTGATAGCCCGACCTCAGCTCTTGGGAGACAGAGTCAGGAAGACAGATGACTAGTGCACTCCAATGAGCAAGCCTAGCCTATAGATGGGTTCTCGGCCAGTGAGAGATGCTGTCTAAAAAACAAAATGGGTAGCTCTTTCAGAGCAGCACCTCTAGTTACCGTCTGGCCCCTACATACAATGTACATGCATAGGCATTCACCTGTACATACATGTACAAACACACACACACACACACATACACACAAAGAATTAGGTGAAAATTACTTGCATATTCAGTAAACTTCAAAAGGTGAAATATGGACCATTGAGCTCAATTTACTGAGTTCTAGCCAGCTATGAAAAGATAATAAAAAGACTGCGAGCCCTTTCTACTTTCCTGCCAACAACTGCATCTTTCTTTGGACTCTTGGGCCCTTTCTTATCCTTGTCCAATTTAAGGCTCACTTTCCTGTCAGAGTCCTTCTTTTGAAGCGAGTAGTTTCCACATAAGCAGGTCAGCAGCACGCCACCTTCTCCCGTGACTATTTCTTGGTGAGATTGGCTATGGCACACTCATTTCTTGATGCCAGCATGATGCTGTCAGTGCAAAATGCAGCTTCACTCCACAGGGAGCAAAGGCAGCTTATTCTGAGCTAACTGTGAATGAGTGTGACCCAACACTGTGGATTCTGATTGCCCTGGGTGACATGTTAAATGTAGATAGAAATGGTTTCATGAACATTTTGCGGTCGCAGAACTAAAGAATACGTAAGTTATGTAAGTGAGCAGTGAGTCCATGCCCTCATCACATACGTTGGTGGGAATGTTAGGCAGGCAGGCTACAGAGAAGTCAGGGTCGTTGCTGTGGGTCCTGATGGCATCCTTGGCTTTTGGATTTGTGGAGGCCATTTGTCTGCACAAAGTTTGTTCCAAAGATGTTAGGCTCTGGATTTGCAGCCTCCCAACACCTGAGAAACACAAGAAGCCCTTGTCAGTCATTTGGGCTTGTGAACATAGATATAGCTTCCTCAGGGAACCCCAGCTGGAGGTGCCATCTTTTCATACAAGAGAGGAACACAGCTCAGAGCACACACAAGAGGAAGAGGGAGAGGGAGAAAAGAAAAGAGAGGAAAGCAGAGGGGAAGTGGGAGGAGTAGCAAGAAAAGGGAGGGGAGAGAAGGCTTCAGGTGGCTTTTTCACAAACCAAGAGCCCAGCCTTCCATAGGAAATCGGCCTTAGGATAACAGACAGCGTGTATCTCTTTCTTTACGATCACTTAGGAATTGTTAAGCAGCTCTGAACAGTCTATAGCTGTGCCCAGCTGTGGGCGGTGAGCCAGTCAACATCCTCGGGAAACCACAAGCCGCTGTCTTAGTCAGGAAATGGAAGTCTAAGATTTCCCAACAAGGTGTGCTTTGATCCTGCTGACAAAGGCTGTATTCGGACTAGATGTTAATGTCACAATGGTTTGCTTCACAGCAAGAAGATTCTTTGAAGAAATAGGCTCAAACCAAAGCATGCACTTACTTTATTTGCAAACAAAATAAATCCTTTTTCTACTCACAGGTAGAAAATCGAACTCTAGAAGTCCCTCCTGAAGGCATGCTCAACGTGTTTGTGAAAACGGAGGGATCCCGGGAAGCCTATGTGAGGTGGGAAGCACCTCCTCACCCTAACGGGCGCTTAACCTACTCAGTCCTTCTTACCGGAAGTTTCTATGCAGATCGAGGTAAATGGCCTATAGTTCTTATGCCTTAAAAAGAAAAGGAACTACTGTGAGAGTGTGTGTGTGTGTGTGTGTGTGTGTGTGTGTGTGTGTGTGTGTGTG